CACAGCTTTCTGTTTTATTACTTTTTGTCGTAATCGTTTGGAATGAGCAAGCCATTCAGGCAGAATAACATAGAATTTCCATTGAGTATATTAAAAACGTTTCACTAGGACATTGTCAACTAACGAAGCACAATGACAGGAGATACTTGACTCAAATAATTAATGATTCTAAACTAGAACGAAGACAGGTGTCACTAAAATTTCATATTTCTATGTTCAAATTGTCAGTATGTAAAAGAGGAACGAGAACATGTAAATCATTTAAGACTTTTGCACAGAATGACTATTACCAGAAAGTTCGATGTTTGTGTACATGCAGAATAATTAACATACTCGCTTCCACACAGCTGGCGTTCCAGCAATGATGTTCTTCTCAATATTCTAACAATTTCTGTGTCAAGTTACACGCAAAATAAAAGAGGTAAACAAATAATGATTGCTTGCGAGCTACATAAGCGTAGCGTGAATGCATAAAGGTAGCATAATCAATAGAACATAAAGATACATAGAGAGTAAGCGTAATAGCATTAGAGGAGATTAAAGTTAATGTTTGAACGAATAAGAAGAAAATAAGCATGAGAAGCCTAGATGATAAGTAGACGATCGTCGTGGAGAAAGTAAATATCTTGCGCTCTGCAATTTCTTTCTGTGTGCCGAAGCTTTCATCGCCGTAGTATTCTTCATTAACGCCTACCAATGAAGCAGAGTCATTAAGAACGAGAAAAAAAAAAGGAGGAGACGATAATGAGCTATAAGACGTTAGGTACAAGCCGTGGAAAGGAAAAAAAGTCTCCACGTTTCGTCTCAATTAACAGAGATCGAAAATCAATTAAAACGTTCGTTTCTGGGTATAAGTGCTCGTCGTGTTTCTAACCATTAGAAATGGTTCGTGGTGTCTCCTGATGAATTTCACTCTTCCTACCTCAAAACAATATACGCAAACACAAATATGAGAGTCATGCTGCGGATCGGTTTTGATTCGCTATGAAATATATGTACTGATATTTTATAAGATATTTGTTGCTTTGCGTCATTAGGTTTTATATACGATTGATTTTGCGCCGAAGAAGTTTCTGTAACGTTAAAATTTGTATGTTATATAGAATTTTTTGACACGATATACATATATATATAATTACTTTCTTTTAATAAATTGAGGAAATCTTGTTGCTTCTATCATTCACTATTGAAGTTACGAATTAATCAATTGATCACTTAGCTCTTCAATAATATTTTTAAGTAAATTTAAGTAATTTAAGTTGTTGTTTCCGTGACTGATAGTTTATTGACTTGCAACCATTGACTGACATATATTGTGAAAATTACCTATTTATAATAAATTACCTAAGATAATTTATTACTTATTTTGTTAAAACTAGTACAAACAGTTATACTCAACTCTTATAAATGAGATTTTTAGTGTACATAGATCTTGTACATTTTTGTTTTAGAATTATTTATAGAAACCATAAATTTATCAAAAACGTACAAAAAAAGTTAATGAGGTATTGCTTGATAAGCACTTTATATCAATATATATATATGATAAAAAGAAATTGATGAAATATTACATTCTTTTAATCCAAAATTGATTGATAACAAACACGTAAATGCTTCTTACTATTACTTCGTTAAAAAATTACTTTATTTATGATACTCATTTTTTAGGACAGAAAGATATTTAAATTCGCTCTTGAAAATTAAATTCATTTCTCTTCGATTTTTAGTAAAAATAGAAAACTGATCTGCTACAAGACAGAAGGAAATATAATGTGCTTTCATGGACATCCTTGTCTATCATGGGATCAATGAAAAAACATTTCGTTGTAATTAAATTCTAGACAATACTATGCGTGCACTCGCTCGACAATCTGAATTTCAACAACCCTTAAGAGCTAACAATAACATCCAAAATATATTAAATTTTCATTATCTTCGTTAAAATTGTTCTCTCTTTGATTGTGAATATGATAACAATTTTTTAAGTAAAGAAAAAGCATATCTACAAAATATATAATTGCATTAAAAGCTTAGAACAATTAGCTTTTAAGGGTTAATTAAGGAAAAATATAGAGCAAATAATCTAATTTTATCACAAATACAATATCGCAAGCTATATGTACAATACGTACAATAAGATTAAAATTGAAAATATTAAAAACTCCTTGTACTTCGTCAATCACTGTAATGTCAACCGTATAAGTTAAGATATATTTGCATTTGACATCTTTGATCATAATCTATTGCTTCTAAGCAATACGGTTTATAATAATTTTAATATTTAACGTTAAATGTTCCTCTATAAAAAATTATATTATGTTCTAACAAAATATGATATTTATCGTTTCTTGTATAAATTAAGTTGACAAACTCGTATAACGTACAATTTAATATACTATACAATTCATTTTGAAAAGTATTGCAAAAAATATCTGTCAAATGTGAATGTATCTTGAAAGCGTTAAAAAACAGACTTTTCCAAAACCTCGCTGTTTTATTAATACACGGAAAGCAAGTCCAATAAACAAAATAATTGTTATTACAATCGTCATTAAATATGAATAGAAGTGCTTAAATGTCACGTGTCTGAAAGTAGTTCTATAGAGGAAAAAAGAGTTGTGTAATCGCCGTAGAGAAACTGTTCTTATTAGCGACAGTCAACAGTGTAATAAAGTGTGTGAATATATGTTGTATAATGAAATAGGACGCAAAACGAAAACGGACGCATCTATATCAAATCTGTACTAGCGCAGTAAAATTGTTAACATCGCACAGCTGCGCTTTCAAACGCTGTAATGTATATGACGCATGTTTATATGCTGGATTCTTAACAAAAGTTACATTCTACTTATTTTAAAGAAGAAACTTTGCCAGAGTGGCATTTATGGCGTTTATGTACACGGTGCAATAAAAATTATGATACATGATATATTAAATGAAAAATAAAGAATGTTATGGAATAAATTTGGAAGAGGAACGTGTAATAGCTTGTGCTTTAGATAAAAGGATAACTTTAGTTTTGAAAGAAAGAATAATTCTCTTTCAGGACAATCTTTGAAAGAAAATTCCTGGATGTACGAAAAATCTTACTATGAAATATGAAAGAAGACATAAAATGTCTTATATCATTTTATAATCTTATTACGAAAAGAATTATTCCACAGCTTCGATTTATCTTCAGATGCACCCTGTACATACGTGGTTTAATACTTCTTAAGATACACAACTGATTACTGATATAGTGGAGAAAAACTCGACATTGGCAGCTCAATCATAACCATATAAATAACGTAGTTACATGAGTACAGTGACATAGTTATAATTAGATAGCAATTATTTCTTTTTAATTATTTATAATGCATTGTGCACGCAGCTGTACCGATGTACAATATCAATTATGATGGATGATAATGTACCTAGTTATTAAAACTAAATAAAAGATATATATATATATATATAACATATGCAGAAGCAGCTACAATAAAGTGAATAATGTGATATGATTGTAAAAATCTATTGTGCATAGCATTAATAACCTTCAGCACCGTTAATCATTCATAATATTTTAGCAGCTCTAATGTTTAAAAAAAATGAAGATTCGTTTTAAATGATGACTACATTCGAGTAATAAAAGGTAATTTATTTAAGCAATAATAAATACAATATCCATGAATTTTTCATTTATGAACAACGAAGACAATGTTATTTCAATAACACGTTTCTCCTTGTTTATTTAATATCTTAGTAGAATGGTAATTTTATTAAATAGATATACTTTTCGTATGTTATGTATGATAAGGAGAATTCACTAAATAATACAAACTAAAAAAGACACGTATTTATCATTAAATCGGCATGTAAATAGCTACGATAATAAAAATATGTTAAACCTTTAATGAGATCCCTTATTTTCATTATATAATTTCGTTTTGAATATAAAGTACATATACCAGTAAATATGTCTTCAATTTTCTCTATTAAATAAATGAATAGTAAATTCATTATTAGCATTCAATTGGAATAGATTTGCAAATTCATTATATCAAATTGGAATAATATTAATATTAAACCACAGAGAAGATACGTTAAGTCATAGACCTTTCTTCTGCAGTTCGTTTGCTATTTTACTCACATACTCACGATATATCCACGACTTTTAGACTTTTTTTCGGCGAAGATATCGATATTCCACTTAAAGTAGGTTTCAGTGCGGAAATTAAAGATCCAAAGTGCTAAAGAAAAGTAATCTGATGCTTTCATTGTAATAAAAAGTCTGGCCATTTCTTTTCGTATTACGGGTCTCTACTTCGGAAACTAAATGACGAGGAGAACATGAATTACATACAAAATAGAAATGGCAGATTTTCGCCATCGAAGAAAGATGCTCTGTCTTTATTATGAATTTTAAAACATAATGAAAGGGGAAAAAATATATAACATTTTTTTTGAGACAAAAATTATTTTGAAATGGATGAAATGAATATTAAGATAAAATGATAGAATGAATTATATCCAACTCATAAAATGCACTAATCATATTGCAACAGTCTGTGTTTACGTATGATTGCATTTTGTATACTTTTATTATGCATGTTATTGTATATATAAGAAAATGATTTGTGTATATAAATAACAAATTAGTTGGACTTGCATTTCATTTTTTAATTAATTTACGGGAATGTCACTTTAAAAACATATATAAAAGAGTAAAATTTAAACATTTATTTTGTCTGTCTAAGACAATTCCTATTTTACTTAAATTTTTGTTTCAATATTAACTACTGCTAATGTAGTAATGTTATTTTACGTCCAATTGATAAAGTATAGAATGGTATGAAAACCAAACACCCAACCGGTAAAGTAGAGAATCGCATGGAAACTGAACACGCGAGGTACAGGTGTCACAAACAAGTCTGTAATTATAATAATTTTAGCCATATTATCATATCCAGATGTCGCTAGAACGTGCAGATGATTTCGCCATCTAGCAAACGCTTGCAGCAACTACATGCATGTAATATATGAGTTGGGCTGTGCTATTTGGCTCCGGTGTTTGACCGTTTTTGGTTATAGGGCTGGAGCGCGTGTGTCAATCGTTTGTTTGCACATAGTTTTTATAATAAATAGTTTAAAATGTCAGAAATCTCGATGACAGAAGCGCCGCATCTGCAAAAAATAGATTTAACTACTTTAAATCTTCAACAACTCACAGTATTGAAGCAACAATTGGATCAAGAACTCGGTGTTTTCCAAGATTCGTTGCAAACGTTAAAAATTGCTCAAAGTAAATTTCAAGAATCAGGATCATGCCTCGAGAAGATTTCTCCGTCCATGGAGGGTATAGTTACATTAGTATTCTATCCCGTAAATTCTAGTGTAAAGAATCATTTTGATATTTAATACTTTAAGGTTAGAAAATGTGAGAATGCTTAACTTGCTTAATTTTAGTAATATCATTGAATTTATTTTAGGTAATGAAATTCTTGTACCACTAACTGGATCCATGTATGTGGTTGGAAAACTGGTAGATACTAATAATGTTCTAATTGATATTGGAACTGGTTATTATGCTCAGAAGAAGGTACCAGATGCAAAAGACTACTTCGATAGGAGAGTAGCTTATGTTACCGAGCAAATGGAAAAAATTCAGCAACTGGGTCTTGAGAAAAGTAAAATTAGAGACGCGACAGTGGATGTAATAGAAATGAAACTTCAAAATCAAATGCCGAAGGAAGATTGAGAACGCTTATAAAACATCAACTTTTTTAAATTATGCGTTTTTACCTAATCTGTTCTGTACTTTTATTGGTAATGTGATTAAATTACATTGTTCTGTACTTTTGTTAAGCTATGATAATAATTACTTGACATTTCAAAGGAACATTAAATTTTATAGTGATAAGATATTTTAGCTATCATTTTGTGATATTCACATTCTGTAAATGTGTGTTATTTATTAATTTGTTGGCACTACTTTTTATTTTATGCTTATATACTTCTTTCTAATAAATAGTAAACAAATTTTACCACTATTGCAATAAAAGTAACAATTCTATATTTGAAAGTATAAACTACTGCATTGCAAGATCATTTGATCAAGACGAGTAGGTGAGGAATTTGAGTAAAAAAAAGACGAAAGTAACGAAGGTGAATTATTTATTTGTTTTTCACTTAAGTAAATCTTCATTCACAAATAATAACAGCTTTTACCTAGAAACTTGTGATGATACAGTGTGGCAGTTATGTTTTACGGAATGTTTTACGGAAGAGGTATCAAAATCATTGTCAGAGGATAGAAAACACGATATAATAGTACTGAAACAAGTTCTCGAACACTTTGGCGCGACACATCGTCGATCTAATACATAATATTATGACATGTTATTCAGGTTATAAATTCGTCTCGTTGCAACGAGACAGCGCAGGTCGCAATTACATGTAGATAATTAGCTAAATTTTTATCCTATTTACACGAATAACATACGGTCGATATTTATGTTAACGAAAAATTTTTGTCGCTCTTCCCTCGTCGCACTTAATTTCAAAATTTTACAAACAATTTGCCCTCTCATTTCGATACAGTCATATACGTATAGGGTGATTAACGGGTTCATCGTTGTTATCTAAAACTGCACAGCAACAGCGTAACTGCGGCATTCAAGAACCATTCTTTAAATTGTGTTGCTGCACCTCCTGAAACAAATAAAACAATACATACGAATCTATGAAAAAATATATATAGAACATACAAGAAGATATAACTAGACACTAATATTCATAGATAGTTCTAGTTGTTGAATAGTCAATCTTCAATGATACGAAGAAATTGTTGTTTTGCAATTAATAGTCTTTAAATTAAACGATATATCAAAATACTACATTTACGTTTGTGCCGTTGTACTTTCATTTCTATTGTATCATATAGATGAAAAAATTTTAAACATAGATAAAAGAAATAAAGTAATGCAAATGAAATAGGTAAAATATACTTGCGATATTATAAAGCTATTATTAAAAAAGTTAAAGAAAAGAAAAAGAAAAAGTTATATCTCTCGAATAATACGATTAATTGATTCAGTGCTATTTAAGATCCTGATATTCGAGATTTAAGATTTATAGTAATAGATAGGTACTACACATAAGACACTTTTCTAGTTAATTTCTTGTAGTATATATTTTGGTATCGTAATACTTTTACTACCATTTATGGTAGCATCAATAAGATTAATTTAAACAGTTGAGAAGAACTCTCCTGATATTATCATAATTTTACATTTCATGCTAATTTCAATGAAACTTTGACGTTACGCTGTGATTGATGTATAATTTCAGTTATTATTAGCATGATTATAGTTTGATTAGCATATTACATGATTGAGTTGAGATTAGCATATTCAGTTGATTATTACTTTGACCTGATCAATATGTTATCAAGTTACTTTTTTACGGTATATACTAATGCTCCATTATTTGTTCTCCGTTTATATACAAGATACTATGTAGAATTTTATTAGTACAGTAATTGATATACAATAGACTTCCATATAATTTGGATTTGTTTATGTGAAGATTTACCATAAATCTTTAGAAGAAAGAAATCTTTGCGGAAGGCGACCTTTGGAGATGTTAACTCCATCATTAATCGGGGATCTGACAATGAATTACTTGAATAGGATATTGAAAAAGGAATTCATCTAAATATATATTTATTCTTTTATCTAGGTTTCTATCGTTAGAATTAGTCGTTATGAATACACATCCAGAAATAGCAAACATTTTAATTTTGAGAAGAACATAATTCATATAATAATTAAAACGGGAAATTATGTAGCCGTTATTTTCTTTCTCTAACGTAAAACATTGATAAATGATGAATATTTATTTTGGGTACGTTGAAAAATACATCAAACGAATATAAAAGGAATTATTAAATATAAAACACTTGAGAAAAATCTCTCCTTTATATCTTGTAATTGATAAAATAATTAATTCATAAAAAGATTCGTTGCCGTTAATCTGAAACCACGTAAGGTCACAAAGCTTTGTAATAAATCCAGAATGCATTATGATACTTTTGATTACGTAATTGATACTTAGGAAAATCCTTTCATAAAGATGAGCCTGATATCATAGGGATTTTAAACAGTATTAATTGCAAAACAAATGGAAAAGATAAGTACCATCGGCGAACAATTATAAATAGATCTGTAAGATATACCGATGTAAGAAGATTCCCGAGTTCCTAGTACAGATGCCAAACGTGGCCGTTCCTCGATCAAAAAAACACCAGCTTGTTTTTTATACAAATGAAAGACATTAGCGTTGCAAACAATATGTAATCTTCCGTTGTTAAAGCTATCTGGTATAATCTCGAAATCCAATCCTGCGATACACATTATTTGCTGATTGTCACTGAGCTTGTCCGTTACGTTCATTATGAAACTGGAATTCACCTGAAATAAAAAATTTCGTTTACAAAATATGAAATTAGGTGATAATACATGACTAATGAGATTTAGCAATTATTTTATTTGCTAATCATTCTGAAACTAGTAAAGATGAAAACAATTAGGTAGGCACGAATACTTTTCGCACGTTGTCTTTTGTGTTACTAGGAGTATAATTTTTTAACGTCACTGGATAATGAAAGTTATAAAAAGATAGCATTATATGAGATATTTTTAATTTTGTTTTAGATTTTAAGTTTCAACGCTATTTGGTTAGATATAAGATATTTAATTAGAGATCATGTTTCAATTACTATTTTTCGTTTACACGAACAAAGGACGATAATATTTTTAGTTTAAAATGTCATTAGATATTTTATGATGGTAATAAATTAATAGTCCGTTGAACGTCCGTTCATGAATAAAATATACGTGTTATTGCCATAAAAAGGACGAAAGGAAAGGAGAATGAACAGGATAAGGACAATACTACATACAGTAAGTACTTCCTGCTTCTCAATAACACTGTAATACTTCTCTCTAGGGAACCATAAATAATTTGTGGTGTATTCAACTACAATTATAATGTTTATCAGATTGTTAGGAAATCCATAAACCGTTTCAGATTGCTAGTTTGCACCGAAATGAGACCTAGGGTTAAATGAAGTTGCTTGTAGTTAGAGGATAGCCGAACCAAGTATAATTTCCTGAACAACTTTGTACTACGCTTATAACGGTATCGTGTCGTTGCATTCGCGAATCGATCATTTTCTCAACACGTTTCTTACTGTTGTTTTAATGTTTCGCTTTTTACCTTAATATTACAAGTGGTTATATCAGATTTAATCGATCTTCGTTACATACATAAATTGAAAAAAAAAAGAAAAAATAATTTACCAAACTTGACAATTTATATTTATTGAAATATTTTGGAGATATTAAAATCTATATTTATAAAATGAATTTTTTTCATTATCTGTAAAATTAAGAATTTGCTTCTTCTATTTTAGTGACTTTCAGATTGTTCAATTATCTATTTATATATGTATACTAATAAAACATAAAATATTAACAGCGACATTGCAGTCAAAAGTGAAATATTAAATTCCAATTAAAAGTTCAAGCTTCTTTTTTGTTTCTCAATAATCATTGACGTATGGCGAATTTATGAGAACAGCAAATACCTGTACAGGATCATATGATTGCAGGCCGGTATATTAAATTAAAGACATGTGCAACATGCCTACATCGATACCCGTGTGCCTATACGCAGGAGGAATACGTAAAGCGTGTACAAAATTCAAGAAGTTGCTTAAAAATGATTTATTATTCTTTTTCGACGTTCATTTGCATTTGTAGCGTTCCGAGAACATTTTAAAAGAAAATATTGGAATATAAGTGTATATTGTAGCACATTATTTATGGAAATTATACCCCATATAGGAATAATCAGCACGCAATTCCTTTAATTTTGGAGCTTCTATTATTAGGATAATGTAAAGATTACTTTAGAGATCATTTGCAATAATTTTACATTTCAATATTTTTCCCCTTAACAAATAGTCGTTTACTTTAATTTCCTTAGATTTATTAATTTATTATTTTATTAATACACTTGGGTTTATTAATTTTTAATAATATTACTTTTTAAAAGTAACATTTAATATTATTTAATATTATTGGATATTGAATAGGGATTGAATTATAAATCTGTTTGTTGTTTCAAAGCGAAGCTTTTTTTTATTGAACACTAGGTTTGATTGAAAGCAGATCAATAAAATTCATTGAGGAGAATGAAATATAGCAGACAAGAGCAGTAACATATTGATTCGAGTTACAACGACAACTTATCGGAAGCGCCAAACATCTCTTGGAAGTTTTTACATCTATCAACCTACCGGTACCCCATTGACAGTCCACGTGACATTTGCCGGAGGGTTTCCCGAAGGAACAGTGCAGTTTGCACGCACAGTATCTCCTACTGCATACCGCACCTTCTCGACTCTTACTTGAGGTTCGCCATTCGGGAGGTCTGAAATCCATTGAACTTCTTAATAACGGAACAAGATTTCGATTTACCAGGTAATTTAAAATAATTAATTTCACATTGGTTGATTTTTAATTTTATTTTAACATTAGTCGATTACTGGATTTCTTTATACCTTTTATATCAATATTATTATTGTATTTATTAATTATTATATTTTGGCATATAAAGTCATTTAAATATTAACGTGTACAACTGTATAATAATGTATAATTTATGTACTACATAATGTATAATTATTTCACTTAAAGAGGTTTTTTGTATAAAGATGGAAGATTTTGTATTAGAATAATTTATAATAATTCTTTACTTTGAGATGGAAGGACTAATATATTATAAAGAGTAGGTTACGAAGGAGAAGAGAAGTTCAGTTTTATTAATGACATTATACTTATAGCTCCAGTACGAGCATAGAAGATAT